CGGTGCCTTGGCCTGGAAGGCGGCGTTGGAGCTGGAAGATCTACTGGAGGGTGTCAATTTACTCAGGCTGAATCCTTCCCTGAGGATTGCTCTTGTTCTCTGGAATTAGAAGATAATGTTTTATTCCTTGATGTCTCCCTTTTGCAGTTCCTTGGCGTGAGCAGGGAACAAACTCCGGCAGAGACCGGAGCGGCACGAGAGTGATCCAGGGCTCTGTTGGACCAGGAGGTGTGTGGAGGGTGTAGGAGACACAGTGAAGCAGCAGAGCTGTGGGAGAGGGAGGATGGGAGAGACCTAAAGTGGAGAAAGTGAGATTTGGGCAGCAGAGGAGAAAGGTGGCGAGAGAGGGGAACGATCTCAGCAGCTGCGTTTTGCGCGGCCACTCCTGGATCCTGCAGCTGTTCATTAGGAATTCTGTTTATGCCACAGGGAGTTTTGGAGGCTCTGAAGCTGACACAGTTTTAATAGACAAAGACATTTTGAGTGCAGCACATCTGCTCTGGGATGCTGAGGAAGAGGCTCCATGCGGCAGTGCCACTGGTCGGGGCGTTTTGTTCCTGCTTTTTTTTATTTTAAGACCTCTCTTTTATCCTGAAAAGTGATGTTGGAGGTCAATAGAAGTGCTGTGTTTGCTCATTAAGTTTGCAGCCCCTAAACAGCCCTGCCATGCTATTCCTAACATCCCCGAGTTCCCAGCCCTGAGAGCTGGCAGAGTCACTTCTGACAGGGAAGGATCCCGAAGCATTTCCCAGAAGTGGCCGTCGTGGAGGTGTCAGGCACAGGTTTGGGAATGGAGGAGAGGCCTCCCTTGGTCCATGCTGCATTATTAAAAAATCTGGTGAGTAGGTCTTAAATGGATCAATTTATTTCCAGGCAGACTCAGTCTAACCCTCAGCTTAACTTTTATAACCCGTGGCTTTCCAAAGCCCATCTCATCCTGCTCGGTGATTGAATCCACCTCGTGCAGCTGGAGAGTTAATTCCTTCCTTCACCTCCAGCTCTGGCCAAGTTCCTCGGATCCCTCTTTCCCTGACCTTTCTCTAGGGCCTCCAATAAACAGAACAGTGTCACTTTGCCCTTCCTAACTGGTCTGTTATTGCTACATCTGCCCTGCAGTGATTTTGGAATGTTTCCACCTCCCCATTCCGGTCGGAGAGCTCTTTGTGCCGGGCACGGACGCCGAGTGGAATTTGCCGTCTCCCATCCTGCCTTTTCCAAGGACTGGGTGTTATTAGTCTTTTCCAGCCACGCAGCTTGAGAGGAGCTTTGTTTTTTATGTCTCTCTCTCTCTGCTATCCTGCAAGCAAAGCACTGGGCACCGGTGACGAGACAGCGCTCAGCGTGTGTCAAATTATCCGGCGTTCCAAAGCCGGGCGGCAGCGCCGCTTTGTAGGAATTTAATTACCATGGATTCTGCTGGTGCTTATCTGCTATCATACACTCCTCTGCTGCTTAATGACTTCATTAAACACTCCCACAAACCTCAGGCACTGGGGTTTGTCCTCTCTGGGTGTTTTGAGGTGATGTATTTGTCCATGTCCACACCGGCACGTCCTCACCTGGGCACTGCGAGGGTCCTGCAGGACCTTTGTTGGCTTTTCATAGAATCCCAGAATGGTTTGGATTGGAAAGGACCTTAAAGACCACCTTGTTCCACCCCCCTGCCATGGGCAGGGACAACTCCCACTATTCCAGGTTGTTCCAAGCCCCGTCCAATCTGGCCTTGGACACTTCCAGGGATCCAGGGGCAGCCACAGCTTCTCTGGGCAACCTGTGCCAGAGCCTCACCACCCTCACAGGGAAGAATCTGTTCCAAACATCCATTTTTATTATCCAATAATATCTTATTTCTTTATTTCATAGCACTGCCTGAGCTGGCAGAGCTCTTACCTGTGGTGCCTCTTGGTTTCAGGTGGGGGCTTTCTCTGACGTGGGGCCTTGGCCAGCAGCAGTTTTACAGCACAGATGCTTCATGTTGGGCCAGTTCTGGGTGTCTGTGGATGCCTGGAACAGGAGGGAGATCTTAGATACACAGAGATTCTCCGAGGGCTGGAGCTCTGGATCCAGGCTGGGAGAGCTGGGGGTGTTCACCTGGAGAAAAGAAGGCTCCAGGGAGACCTTGGAGCTCCTTCTACAGCCTAAAGGGGCTCCAGAAGAGCTGTAGAGGGACTTGGGACAAGAGCTGGAGGGACAGGACACAGAGAATGGCTTCCCACTGGCAGAGGGCAGGGATAGATGGGATATTGGGAAGGAATTGTTGGCTGTGAGGGTGGGGAGGCCCTGGCACAGGTTGCCCAGAGCAACTGTGGCTGCCCCTGAATCCCTGGAAGTGTCCAAGGTCAGGTTGGACAGGGCTTGGAGCAACCTGGAATAGTGGGAGTTGTCCCTGCCCGTGGCAGGGGATGGAATGAGATGACTTTAAGGTTCCTTCCAACCCAAACCATTCTGTGATCCGCATTTCCAGCTTGCTTGGCAACGGACTGTGTGGGATAAGAACCCTCCTGCTGTATAAATATGGGTGATTACAGCACATCAGGTAATTTAGTTATTTGGGGTGATCCATTGGCCTTGTCTGAGGCAGAACAGCCCCATTTACTGTGATGAAGCTTCTCCCAAAAGTGCAGGTGACCGTCAGTTGTTAATGAGGCCGCGGGCGGCTGCCCATCCCACACATCCCAGAGGGGAGGGAAAAGCTGATGTTGGACACACAGCAGCACGGACACACCTGGGGGAGCAGGTGAAGGAGCTGTTACAGGGAGGGAAGGCACACTTGGAGCTGTTTAACATGGTTCATTTGGCCACGTGGCATTGATGAATGGAGTGTCACTGCACCTCGCTCAGATGTAGCAACTGGGGCTTCCCTGTTTCTGTAGGCTTTCCTTGGATATAAACTCCCCATCAGGACTCACTGCTGACCTGCCTCCTTGGCCTCTGAGGTCCATGAGAAACCATCCATGTGATTTTGTGCTTGTTAGAGGCCCCTTGATGGAGATGTTCGTTCTCCAGCACCGGTTCATTCCCTGCATGTGGGAAATGGGCGAACTTTCCATAAAACCCCTATAGATGGATCATTCTCCACAGGGACCCTCCCTGCTGAGTGAGATGCTGTTAAACACCCTTTGTGTTTCTGTGCTCTTCAGGCAGTATTTCCTTTTTCTTATAACCTTTCCAGGTCAGCAGAAAATTAGATTTATGCTTAATTACGACCTGCAGCTTCTGTCAGAGGGCAGGAACCCGAACCTGCCACGGGGTTATTTCCTGCCGCGGAAGCAGCACCGAGGGTGTTTTAGGGACGTGAGAGAGGTTTGTGGTTTTGCCTTGGGGAAAATAACCTGGAAACCACAAAGAATTCCAAGGACTTGAGCTGTCTCAGGGAGTCAGCGTTTGGGGAATCAGCCCTGTCTGGAGTTGACCTCTCCAGGCTTCTCTGGTGTGACGTGGAGCACCTGGCTCTTCGCTGTGGTTTTACCTCAAGACTGCTCTTGTTCATTAATTAGTTCTCAAGGTAAAAGCCTCCCACACCCAATCTATCCCTTTAAGAAGTGTCTAAAAGCTCACGCCGCTGCACGATGGAGAATCCTCGGTTTGCTTCCCGCATCCCAAAACACCTGAACTGGGAATGTGGTGAGCGCTCCCAACGCCGGCCACCGTGTGGTTGTATGGGTTTCCCAGCCTGCTCCTAAAGCTCTGCCCTGTGATCTCTTTCTCTGAGATTTGGGGAGGAGAGGAGTGAACTTTGAATCCAGGATTCTCTGCCGCCCAATCCCGCGGGACACAGATGGATTCGCTCGTAAGCTGGATGTTCCTCTGAGCGGAGAAGTGTTCGTGTGCAGCCCGGGGGGGAAAAAAATAAAACACTGTGACTGGTTTATTACCAGAAAACAACACTAAATAATAAATTTAAGAACTAAAAGCTCTATATGTAAAGTAGATTTCAGGATGCATTATGCAAACAGCAGAAAGGCACCGGAGGAGGGAACAGGCTGGGAAAAGGCAGGCTGGGAAGACGGATGATCTTGCGGACGGGACGATTGGATGTGGAGTGAATCCCAATCCGGGGTGACCTTGGGCAGGTTTTTTCTCCATTACCTGCTCTCTGAAAGCTGGAGGAGGTTTTCCTGTGGTGTTCAGGATTCCATCAGAATACAGGAATGTTTATGAAGCACTCGGTTGAGCTGAGCAGGACAGGGCAAAGCATCAGGTACCTGGGAGCACCTGGGGGGGAGGTTTCTGCACCTTCTCACCACCATACTGAGCATCTCCTGGAGCAGGATCCTGTCCCTGTGCCCCGGGTGGGAACACAAAGCTGGGAGCCAGTGGCAGTTCTTCACTTGTCTGTCCTGGAGCAGTTTGAGTTCACCTTTGCTGTGGAAAGAGGGAGAGGGAGGCCTGGAGGGTCCGTGATTTCCTCTGGTTGGTGGAGAGAGGCCGTGCCAGAGCGAGCACAGGAAGGAGCCCTTGGATGATTGTCCAGGACCCCTTTGGGTTTGGGCAGGTTTGGACAGCAGGTTTGGCTTCGTGTGGAGCTGCAAACACAGTGAATGTTCCTTGGTTTAGATAAAAGCTCCCTAAAGCCGGGGATGCAGTTTATCCCCAGAATTTACAGATTACAGGACCTTTTACCAGTGTGTTGATCTCAGCCTGGGAGAATTTCTCTAGGCCCCTGAGCTCCGGAGAAGGTACAAATCCCTCGTGACGATCCCGAGGCTGCCGCATGTGGAGCGTTTCAGAGCGAATTTTCCATCTGCTCCTTTCAAAGAGCTGCTCTCAAATGCACCTTAAAGCACACACCTAATAGATTTATTCTCCTTGTTCAACTGCTCCTGTTCCCAAAGCAGTTGGAGATTTGGGGTGTAATCCTTTCCTTTGAGAGCTTTAGGAAGCAGAAAGTTATCATTGCTGAAGGGCTGTTTGCTGCTCGTTTCTTTTCCATTACACCTGTCCTGAAAAGGGGGGGAATATCCTGTATTTTTATTTTCTTTCTTTGATTTCATTTCTAGTGCTGGTCAGAGAGACTTGGCAGCAGAAACTGTCTATCCAAGCCTGCAGAGATAAAGCACAGCAGCCACTGACACTCCCTGACGTCCTTCTCCGTTTGTCGGGAGGGAGCCGACAGGACACAGGTGGGTTCATTCTCCACGGAAAAGGCCATCAAAGCAGGACTTTGTGGGGGTGACACAGCAGCAGTAGCACTGCAGAGCCATCATTTCATAAGGAAAGGCAGTAAGGATGGGTATGGATGTGTGCAGACGAGAGTTTGGGAGCTCTAATTTAGCAGATGCAGGATCCCCGTGGATTTTCCTCCCCACGGTGCAGTCTGTGCTCCCTGTTGTGCCTGATGGTTATGGATTGCTCTGCTAAGCCCTTAAAGACCACAAGTTTAAATTTTCCAGGCTCTGCTCGCAAATGTGCTGAGGAAGGAACAGCATTTCCCTAATTTTATCAGGAGATGGATAAATGGAGGTGCAAGCAGGGAGGAATAGTTGTTGCTCAGGTGTTTGCAGGAGGACTTGGAACATTTGCAGGGAAACGACTCCACGAGCACCCACAGATCAGACCAGCCTGGCACATTCTAGAAATGCAAAATGAGGGACAACCTCGGGTATTCCCATAACTTCACCTGCTGTGGAGCTGGGGAAAGCTGGGAATGCAGCCTGAGCTTTGACAACGTGCTGGAACAGCAGTTTAGTTTCACAGCCCCGTTCCCTGGGAGAAGGAACTGCGGAGAGCAAACCTGTTGTGCCTGAGAAATCACTCGGGTTGGCATTTGGGAAGAGTCTCTGGTAATTGTTGATCTCCTGATTTTCTAAGAGCTCTTCTTGCCTTTTTTTTTTGGTGTGTGTAATTAGCTCCATCAGGCAGTGAAATTGTGCTGTAACATCAACAAGAGTTTTCAGTGTTGGGCTGGATTAAAGAACTAAATAGTACTTGGCAAAACCCAGCAACCAACCTGTTTCTCCTCCTCCCAGATTTCTTTTGGGGAATGACAGAAATCAACAGCCTTTTTTCCCTGGTGCTGCTTGTTGCTGTTAAACACAACACTGAAGCCTCTCTTGGTAAAACCATGAATTGGGGTTTTTTACTTCGCCTTTTTTTCTTTTGAAGTCCTAATGACAGCGTGTTACAACCTCAGGGTCTGTTGAGTTGATGAGAAATAAAGTCTTAATAATGAAGAAGAGTCCAAGAGTGTGTCTAAAGCACTCACTTTATCACCAGCACATATTTCATAGTGACAGTCAATACTTTTAACCGATCCCAAGCCACACGTGGTGCATTTTAAATCCCTACTCAGCCTCCTCTGGTCTTTCCCATGTGGTGTTTTCCAAGAGAGCGACAGAGTTGCTTTGTCAGCCTCAGGTTTCTGAGCACAAGGATGTTTTTAATTCACAACTCGCATTTTTAGGCCAAGAGGATGAAGTTTGTTCTGTGTCAAGGAAGGGAATGATCAGGGGAACCACTGGAAGGGTTGGGTGGCAGAGCAGCTGCTGAGGGTCATGTGTGGGGTGATGGATTTAGCTTTCCAAGGACCCCAGTTGCCATTTTAGGGAGTCCAGTTTACCATTTCATTACTGTTTATGGCTTATAAATGGCCAAAGTGGCCACAAAGGAATAAAATTTAGATGCAGTCTCACCTTTTGGGGCTTCCTTTACTGCCTGTGGAGCTGCAGCTCTCTCTGACCAGCCCACAGCAACATCTCCATGTGCCCTCTCATTCTTTTTTTGGCCACATTTATGATTCCCTTATTTCTCTGTTGTCTCAACACCCTGCAGGGTTTGGCCCCACTTATCCCATGGCACCCCCAAACAAAAAATAACCAGCAGGGCTTGTTTTCCCCACGTGTGCCTTGAAGTTAAGCTGATTTTTAGATCAAGTGAGTGTGTGCTCTGGCATTTCCCTCAGGAAAAGCACTAATAGGGCAGCTCATCTCCTGGCCAGCTGTTTGCAGAAAACTGGTGGCAATTCCAGGATCTTTGCAGCCCCCGGGAGAGCAGGTGGAAATAGCAGAGAATGCCCGACTGGCACACACGGACACACAGCACGAGCTCCACTTGCTGCAGAGAGCTTAAAAAGGGGGGGGGGGAAGAAAGGGAAATAGACTTTAAAAGCCTTTTTTAATTAGTATTATTATTATTTTTGCCTTCAATTGCCTGGGTTGTGCAGTGGCTCCTGCTCAAACCCTGCTGCCGTGGACCAGCGGTCCCGGAGCTGATCCCGGAGGCTGGAGCCTCCCCCAAGCCCTGCCAAGATCCAAGAAAGCTGATTTAGCCTTTTGCTGACTTTTTAGCCTCTTTATCCTCCCAGCTTTCCAAGACTTACACCGGTGCTGTTTGCCAATGCCACGATTTTCAAATCTGCCTCAGTTTGAAGTGTCCATTCTGCTGTGCTGCTCAATTTTGGGTCACGTTGGCAGGGGGTGGAAATCCCATTTAATCATGGGGCGTTAAATTACTGCCAACAAACGGCCATGTAGCAATAGCCCTAAGAACGGTGCTTTATTACTCCACATATTCCCCCTTCCACGATGATTTTTCCTGGTTAAAATCAAATTTTCCATGTATTTTCCCCGACACTCGAGTACCGCGCTGAAAATTCCTCCTGACTTCTCCCTGCTCCTTTAAGGTGAACTTTTTTTTTTTTGCTTTGGCCCGTTTCCAGATCTTTCAGCTGAGATTTGCTTCCTTTCTGCTAATTCTTGACGAGGAGCTGAGAGGGGCATTAAATAGATTTAGTGAGAAATGACCGTCACCGGCGTGGATGACTTTCCTCTAATTAAAAATTGAAGCGGAAATGAAAAAGCTCCTCTTGGGGCCGTGCAGGAGCCCAGCACTGAATCCATCAGTGACGTGGCAAGTCCAGTGTGTGGAAGAATATCCCAGAAACTTCAGTGTCTTGGAGGATGCCAGTAAAAGGGAAGGGAGAGTTTCTAGTGGCAGAAGATTGATGTGGCCTAGATTTGAATCTGTTGGCCCAGGGCTAGAACTCGGAGCTGGATTCCAGAGAATCAATGGTTTGGGTGGGAAGGGACCTTAAAGGTCATCCTGTTCCACCCCCCTGCCACAGGCAGGGACACCTTCTGCTATCCCAGGTTGTTCCAAACCCTGTCCAACCTGGCCTTGGACGCTTCCAGGGATCCAGGGGCAGCCACGGCTTCTCTGGGCAACCTATGCCAGGGCCTCCCCACCCTCACAACCAAACAATTCCTTCCCAGTCTCCCATCTAACCCTGCCTTCTGGCAGTGGGAAGCCATTCCCCCTTGTCCTGTTCCTCCAGGTCCTTGTCCAAGTTCCCTCTCCAGCTCTCCTGGAGCCCCTTTAGGCTCTGGAAGAAGCTCCAAGGTCTCCCCGGAGCCTTTTTTTTTTCCAGGTGTCCTCATGGATCCAGTGTGGGAAGGGACCTTAAAGACCAGCTCATTCCAGCCCTGACACCTTCTACTATCCCAGGTTGCTCCAAGCCCTGTCCAGCCTGGCCTTGGACACTTCCAGGAATCCAGGGGCAGCCACAGCTTCTCTGGGCAACCTGTGCCAGGGCCTCCCCACCCTCCCAGCCAACAATTCCTTCCTAACATCTCATCTAAACCCAATCTCCTTCAGTTTAAGGCCGTTCCCACCACATGCCCTTGTGAAAACTCCCTCTCCAGGGACCTGTGCGATGTCCTTGATTTTTTATGCCTGTGCTAGGTAGGCACTCAGTGCCAGAGCAGAGTTTTCCAAGCTGATACCACCTGGGTGACAGGATACCCAGCAGATGCTGAATTCAGCACCTTTGCTTCGATGTGCAGTGTGGACTCTTCCCGTGTTGCCCAGGAACCCCCTCATCCGCAGCCAGCGGAGTTAATCACAACCAACAACCAGAGCGTTCCCTTTAAACTTCCTCATGCAATGAATCAAAATTTTCCAGCAGGAAATGAAAGCAAAACACTTCATCTAAAAATTCCTCATCAGCTCTAGTCACTGGAGCAGAACAATGGTGATTACACTCAGCTGTGCAGTACAAATTCCCGGCGCTGCCGCGTCCCGGGATCCCAGCAGGGCGGGCAGGGACGGCAGGTGTGTGTTAATGTCTCCGTTTCCTACGTGAAGAGACGGGGCCTTGCAGGTGTTGAGCAGCTTCTGTGGAGCTACACAGCAGGACAGGGGCAGAAACGGGGATCCAGGTCCAGGGCTGGGGTGGTTGTGGGCTGGCAGTGAAGGAAGCGACCCTAATGAAGGGCAGAGTGCCTGGAGAAAGCCACATCTGATGGATCCCATCACCTCCTCAGGTGTTCCGGTGTTAACCCCAGAGGTCTTGGCCATGTATAAAGGTTGTTCTTTTGAGACAGAGCAGTTGCTTTTAAATCTTGACGATGTTTTGGGTCGTTTTGTTTGCATTGCCTGACCGGGTGGTTGTTCTCCTGCAGGAATGGCAGAGCGTCATCCCCGCAGCAGCGATGACAGAGACTGACGTTCCTACGAGTCTCTCCTGGCTCCTTCTCCGCAATGGCTGGTGCATATTCATGGGACGGTAATGCAGGATGTCGGGAGCAGCGGTAGAGTTTGGCTCCGTCCCACTGTGTTTTCCTTCTGCCAGCTGGGACTTTGGATCGCCATGACAACGCCGTGACACTCCTGGCAAAGGTTGCCCGCTGAAAGGGTGGGCTGGGGGTGGGTGAGAAGGTCAATGACCGACTCCAACGGGATCAAAAGTCGCGCCTGCAGCAAAACGACCGTGGAAGAGCCGTCGGCACGGCAAGAAGATGAAATTCCCCTTCCATTGGCTTCTCGCTGAGCAGGCACAATAACAGTTTTATCCAGGAGACTCGCTATACAAACTCTTTTGGTTATGGCTACTGATCCGACGTGATTGGGCGCGCGGCGACTCTGGAACTCATGACTGGATATACGATGTTGCGGAATGGGGGAGTGGGGAACGGAGGCCAGCCCTGGGTGTTGAGGTGGTCCAGTCGGATCCGGCTCACCTGGCTCAGCTTCACCCTCTTCATCATCCTCGTCTTCTTCCCCCTCATCGCCCACTACTACCTGACCACCATCGACGACGCGGACGACGCCGGCAAGCGCATCTTCGGGCCCCGGACCGGCAACGAGCTGTGCGAGGTGAAGCACGTGCAGGACCTGTGCCGCATCCGCGAGTCGGTCAGCGAGGAGCTGCTCCAGCTGGAGGCCAAGCGGCAGGAGCTCAACAGCGAGATCGCCAAGCTCAACCTCAAGATCGAGGCCTGCAAGAAGAGCATTGAAAATGCCAAGCAGGACCTGCTGCAGCTGAAGAACGTCATCAGCCAGACCGAGCACTCCTACAAGGAGCTGATGGCGCAGAACCAGCCCAAGCTCTCCCTGCCCATCCGGCTGCTGCCCGACAAGGACGATGTGACCTTCCCCCTGCCAAAATCCAACAGGAACTGCAGGCTGCACAACTGCTTCGACTACTCACGCTGCCCCTTGACATCTGGCTTCCCAGTCTACGTCTACAACAGTGACGATTACCCCTTTGGTAGCTCCTTGGACCCTTTAATTAAACAAGCCTTTGAGGCGACCGTCAGAACTAATGTTTATGTTACTGAAAATGCAAATATTGCTTGTGTGTACATAGTTTTAGCGGGGGAGATGCAAGAGCCCGTAATGCCAAAACCTACTGAACTAGAGCAACAGTTGCACTCTTTGCCATATTGGAGGACTGATGGACACAACCATCTCATCATCAACTTGTCGAGGAAATCGGAGACTCAGAACTTCCTCTACAACATCAGCACGGGGCGCGCCATGGTCGCCCAGTCCACCTTCTACGACGTGCAGTATCGCCCGGGCTTCGACATCGTGGTGTCGCCCCTGGTCCACGCCATGTCCGAACCCAACTTCCTGGAAATCCCGCCCCAGGTGCCGGTCAAGCGTAAATACCTGTTCAGTTTCCAGGGGGAGAAGATCGAGTCTCTGAGGTCCAGCCTGCAGGAGGTTCGCTCTTTCGAGGAGGAGATCGAAGGCAACGCCCCGGCTGACTACGACGACCGGATCATCACCACCCTGAAGGCCGTCCAGGACAGCAAGCTGGACTTCGTTCTGGTGGAGTTCACGTGTAAGAACCAGCCCAAGGCGAGTCTGCCCACTGAGTGGGCTCTGTGTGGAGAAAGGGACGACAGACTAGAGCTACTGAAGCTTTCTACTTTTGCACTGATCATCACCCCCGGGGACACCCGTTTGGTGATCTCCGCCGGGTGCACCATGAGACTGTTTGAGGCTCTGGAAGTTGGAGCCATCCCGGTGGTTCTCGGAGAGCAGGTCCAGCTTCCCTACAACGACGTGATCCGGTGGAACGAGGCAGCCTTAATCATACCAAAGCCACGTATCACAGAAGTGCACTTCCTTCTGAGAAGCATTTCTGACAACGATCTCCTTGCCATGAGGAGGCAGGGCCGCTTCCTGTGGGAGACCTACTTCTCCACCTCGGACAACGTCTTCAGCACGGTCTTAGCCGTCATAAGGACTCGAATCCAAATCCCGGCCGCTCCCATCCGAGAAGAACCTGCCGTGGAGATCCCCCACCGCTCTGGCAAAGCTGCTGGTACAGACCCCAACATGGCCGACAACGGTGACCTGGACTTGGGGCCTGTGGAGACAGAACCCCCCTATGCATCCCCCAAATATCTCCGCAACTTCACCCTCACCGCGATGGATATATACAGGAATTGGAACTCTGCTCCGGGGCCTTTCCACCTCTTCCCCTACACTCCCTTTGACCCTGTTTTACCCTCAGAAGCAAAGTTTCTGGGGTCCGGGACTGGGTTTCGGCCGATCGGTGGAGGAGCGGGTGGCTCTGGGAAGGAGTTCCAGGCTGCTCTGGGTGGCAACGTGCCCCGGGAGCAGTTCACGGTGGTGATGTTGACTTACGAGCGGGAGGAGGTGCTGATGAACTCCCTGGAAAGGCTCAATGGTCTCCCCTACTTAAATAAGGTGGTGGTGGTGTGGAACTCTCCCAAGCTTCCCTCCGAGGATCTCCTGTGGCCGGACATCGGCGTCCCAATCATGGTAAGGCAGGTGGAGCTGTGCTGGTCTTGTTCCCTGGTGGGGTTTGTGTGTTTAAGGGGGTCTTCTGTAGTGTATCAGCTCAGCTTCGGTCCTGTGGGATGGTTGGAGGTGTCTGAACCTCATCTGGGTGCTGGAGAAAAACGAGAAGTTCCAGGTGTTTGGCACTCCTGGAACGGGAATTGCTTGAGAGGAGCCCAGTGTGAGTCTCAAGGCTAAAAGCCAGGGATTCCTGCTCACTGGAAATCTTTCCTCAGGCTCCTGAAGTTCCTCGCTGCGAGGACCATTGACACCTTATAAATACCTAAGTAGTAACTGTTTCTGCACTTCACCAGATGAATTTTTTATCAAAACAAAAGAGGGACCCACTGAATCCGTGTCGACTGCGAAGACCTCAGAACTCATCTCTCACTTTATATTACAAGGGATGGCAGGGAAGGAATTACAAGGCAAGGCCAACGTGGCTGCCAGAGCTTCCATGCTCCAAAGGTTGTAGCTAAGTTTTCCATAGGTTTGGGTTGGTTATTTTTTTCCCCAGCCAAGCTGAAGAAGCGACACCTTCAAAACCCAACGTTCATTTTCACACCCAGCTACTCACACATCGGTTTGTAAGGGGTTAATTCTTAAATTATTATTTATGTATTAATTTTAGGACTTCTGTGTTGTCCCTGCATAACTTCCTGCCTGGCCATTGTTAACAATCAATATTAAATATAAATCTCCACTAAAGCACAGACACAGAGCCACTGACACTGTGTGGGCTGAATCCGGCCGTGTTTGGAGGACAAATGGAAGGATAATGCCTCACAAATTAGGGAAAGGAAAAATAAAAGAGGGAGATGGTACTTAAGCAGGCAAACTGCGTGTGGTTTATGTGACAGGACACCACTGGGCTTAACAGCAACGTGAGCTTTATGCTGCGTGCAAAGAGATTCATTGATTTAATATTTCCTTTTATTATTATTGGGATGAATAAATCCTTCTGCTTGCATTTAAGAACCCTTATAGTCCGGGGACAATGAGGAGAGAAAATTGCTTGGATAATTGGGAAATAATCTTCCACATTAGTCCCCTTGAAGGTCTGAATTCCACGGAATCTTTGCATTGTGTCCGCCGGAAAACTGCGTCCTCCTTCGGAGCGCGGATTGTTCTCCGTGGAGTCACTGATGGGTGTTATTTGTGAAGAAAAAAGATGTTTCTGTTGATGGAGGATAATGGCTTTTTGTACCTTGCTCTCATCTGTTTTTGGAACCCCAGTGGCTTTTTGGGGACTTGGACATAGGAGTTGTTGTTGCCTTTGGGGTCTGTGTGCTCTGGGGGATGTGCCGTGGGGAATGTTCGGTTCCAGGGGAGGGAATTGTCCTGTGTCTGCTTGGGGATGTTGGATGGTAACACTGTGCTCGTGGCCAAGTGCCAGGGAATGGCTGGAGCACAGAGAGCTTCTGCTGGGTCCTTTGCCAAGATGTGATCATGTCTGCTTTCTTCCCATTTTTCTGAATCCCAGTTTTTTTAAGAGCCGAAGTCTCCCGGGATCTCTCACAGGGGGAGGTTAACCCTGCGCAGCCTCCAGGCATCCATCCCACTCCTGTGCTTGTTGCTGAGTCCATCTCCAGGCTGGATGTTTAATCCATGTTGTATTCATCTACATGGATGGTTTGGTGCAGGAATGATGGAAAACTTACCTGGCCTTCATCAGGCAGCGACAAATCCTAAGATCTGCTGTGGAAAAGGGAACAAGAACTTGGGGAGCAGAGGCTGAGACATAGGATGTGCTGGCCAAGGGAAGAGACAGGTGGGGATGTGGGGTTGGAAGAAAGACAAGCCAATGTCAAAAGAACCTGCAGAGCTGTGGATCTGATCTCCTTATGGGGAAAAAAAAGCGCCTTTTGATGGGGAATATCCAATTCTCTCAGATCTGGGAGCAGTGCTGAAAGATGTTTCAGTAACACTGGGATGCAGGGAATTGTCCTGTGATCAGGCCCCAAAGCACAGAGCTTTGGGGGGAAGAGAAGGGAATGGGGGCAGGTTTGAAGGCCCCTCCTTGTGATTGAAGTGTGTCCAGGCACCTCTGACTCCCAGGAGCAGCACAACAGCAGCACATGTGCTAGCATGATCCATGATCAAAGCACCTGGAGCCGGAAGGTTATTGGTGAAAATCCAACAGCAGAAGGATGAGGAGCTGCTGGAGTGAGTCCAGAGGAGGCCCTGGAGATGCTCCAGGGGCTGGAGCCCCTCTGCTCTGGAGACAGGCTGGGAGAGCTGGGGAGGGTTCACCTGGAGAGGAGGAGGCTCCAGGGAGAACTGAGAGCCCCTTCCAGAGCCTAAAGGGACTCCAGGAGAGCTGGAGAGGGACTTGGGACAAGGCCTGAAGGGACAGGACAAGGGGGAATGACTTCACACTGCCAGAGGGCAGGGTTATTTGGGATATTGGGAAGGAATTCCTGGCTGGGAGGGTGGGGAGGCCCTGGCACGGGTTGCCCAGAGAAGCTGTGGCTGCCCCTGGATCCCTGCAAGTGTCCAAAGCCAGGCTGGACTTGGAACCACCTGGGCTAGTGGAAGGTGTCCCTGCCTCTGGCAGGGGGTGGGATGAGATAATCTTTAAGGTCCCTTCCAACCCAAACCATTCCATGATTCCATGTAAATCCCAGCCTAATGAGACAAACAAGGTGTGCAGCACATCCAAGAACCTTTGGAAGCAGAACAGAGTCCTGAATCCCATCCAGGGGATGGGACAAGATGGTGACAAGAGCTCCAGAGTTCCATGGTGGGACTTTGGACTACATTCCAGCTGTGTGGCTCTGGGCTGGCAGAATTCCCTAAGGGAGAGTTGAGCTTCCTCCTGCAGCCTCACTGCATGGATTGACCTTATTTATTGATCAGTTCCTTGGAACTTCGGTTGCTTGGCTGTGGTTTGGTCCTCCAGAGCTGGTTACGTGGTTCCTTTTCCCTGGTGGGCTGGGAATTAATCAAGAGCAGAGCTCAAAGCTGCCTTCAGGTCTTTCATGGATAATGAGACAAACAGGGCTGCAGAATATATCTGATCTTTGGAAAAACTTTTACTTAAATACGGATTTCCTGTGATGGCATAATTTGCTATAAAATCAGCGAGATTCCTGAGCTGCACAGGGGTCTGATCAAACATTCTGGCCCTCTACCCAGCCTGAGGGGACTCTGTGCAAATATAACCTGATGGGAAGTCGGTGTAACCACTCAGGGCTGCCCCTGGAACAGCTGTAGGTCTGTTACCCTCACTTTTAAAGTGCCTTTGTGCCAAAGCTGAGCTGTAAAAACCCGTTGCGGCAAAAAGCAAAGGCTGGGAACGAGAAGCCTTGTTTGTGTAACAAACACCCCCCTGTCCATCACAGTGCTGTGGATGCTGCAGTGGTGCTGCTCGCCCCTCACCAGAGACTGCTGCTGCTTTTCCACATTTGTAGGGAAGAAAAGGGGGAAGGAGTTTGGATGAAACGCTGCTCTGAACAGCTGGGAAGGCTGCGGCAGGGTCGGAGTGAGTTTGGCTGCTTCTCCTTGCACATGCATTAATCTTGGAAAGGTTTCTGGCAGCAGAGTAAAGCAGGAGTCATTAAGGAGAAGGTCTGGCTCAATTTTGGGATGGAGGCTTCCAGCCTCCCCTTCCAGCCTCGCTGTGCTCAGGATTTCTAACCAGCAGTGACAGGAGGAACCTCACCCGTTCCTCTGCAATTCCTCCACAGCATTTTCATCCACATGAGTAAAAGCAAAGGGAAACAAATGAAACAGAAACACTGAGGCAGCCACAGATCCAGTCCCCAGAGGTGGAATTCAGATGCACCCAGGAAGATTCAGATCCTGTTGTGCTTTACCTGTTTCTGCTCTGCTTTTAATCCTAAGAGCCTAAAAAAGTGAGTTGAGCTCAAACAGCCTGAAGGGAGTTTGTTTTTAATATATTTAAATGAGTCCAGTGGAGGCCACTAAGTTGATCACAGGGCTGGAACATCTCTGAGAGAGCTGGGGGTGTTCAGCCCCTTCCAGTGCCTAGTGGGGCTCCAGGAGAGCTGGAGAGGGACTTGGGACAAGGGCTGGAGGGACAGGACACAGGGAATGGCTTCCCACTGCCAGAGGGCAGGAAGAGATGGGAGAGTGGGAAGGAATTCTTGGCTGTGAGGGTGGTGAGGGGCTGGACTGGAATTCCCAGAGAAGTTGTGGCTGCCCCATTCCTGGAAGTGTCCAAGACCAGGTCGGATTGGTGTTGGATCAACCTGGGCTAGTGGAAGGTGTCCCTGCCCATGGCAGGGCTGTGGAATGAGATGACCTTTAAGGTCCCTTCCAACCCAAACCATTCTGTGATTTGGGGCTAAACCTTATTTATCCCAAACCAGTATTTTCACAACCTCTGCTCACGTTCTAAGTGACAGCCTGAACTTCCAGCTCCTCTCTCTCCCAGGTGAGTGCAGGTCCCTCTCTCGTGGCTGGAGTTGCCTTTCTCCTTCCTCAGGGTGAGGTGGAGTGTGTGTGCTGGAGCCATTCCTGAGGTGGTGTGTGTGTGCTGCAGCATTCCTGAGGATTTTGGCCGGGTTCAGTGCCAGCAGCAGCTCCTGTGGCTGTGGCAGTGACTAATCCTTCCCTCCAGCTTTGTCCCAGAATAAGGGGCTGGCTTTGATCTCTGCAGCCAGCCCAGTGGTGTGATGTCCTTTCCTGCCGACCTGGTGGCCGGCTCAGGGAGCTCATTCAGTTCAGCTGCTTGTTTAAAGAGGAATAATCTTTGGAAAATATCTAATCCGGAAGCGTTGCTGGGTCTGCAGAGCTGTTTGGATGCCACGGGATCCCTTGAAATGCCATTTATTCATCGGGAGCAGGCTGAGGAGGGAATGCTGTCCTGACTTTCCCTGCTGTTGGGGCAGTGGCTGAGCTGGCTCTGCAGGGCAGGTGCCTGAGATTTTCACGTCCTGCCCAGCACAAACACTCCAAGGTGCTTTGGTATCTCCATTTTCAGAAGCACAACAGGATCCCCAGATGGTGGTTCTGGA